GAGCATAATTCGTTCCGGAAGCATGCTTGTAATCCAAAGCGCTTGTATATCAAAGCGAATTTCCCCATAGGAAATAATGGAAATTCAGATGATTCGTTCCACAACCCAAAAATATTCATATAAAAAATATTACAATACTGTACTGTAGTATAATACTGTATAAAATCTAAAGAAAAATAAACCAATTACCGGTACCTTTGTGGCTGGGGTGAGGGGGACAAGAGAGAGGGGGATTATTGTGCAGGACGACTTTCACTATCACTAACGGAATCACTGCTATCTCTTGACTCAATGGAATCTTTTTCATTTTGTGAAACCTTAACAAGGAATCTATCCAATGTGACATTGTGTTGTCGTTAAACAGTCTCATCGCTCGCACTGCTACAGCTTTATTCGGGTGGCGCTTTTCTACAAGATTTTGCTCTTATTGCAAGACATTGCTTGTATATCAAGGCAACATTTTTCAGAAATGTTTGCTTGTCTTGCAAAACGCTCTCAAACCAAGTTACTTGTAAACCAAGGTATTACTGTATTTATTAACGTACATGCAAAAAAAGCATCATAGCAAACTTAGTGCGATGTTTCAGGGCAGAACAAGTTGAAGGGGATCCTACGTGACCCTGAAACATCGCACTAAGTGTGTTATGCTGCTTTTTTCCGCATGTATGTCCATAAATAGACGTATTCTGCCTGCCGTTGGAGTGCCGGTGTCCATATTCTTTTGCTGGAGCGAATGGACCCTTAGTGTGTTGGTGGAACGCAGTGTGTGTTTCTAATTGGGGGGGCATTGCTTTTTTCATGTGTGTTGTTTTTTTTTCTATATATTTTTTTTTTAGTACTGTCACCAGGGGACTTTGGGGAAATATCAGGGGTCTAAAATAGGTGTTTCCCCTTTAGAGATGGAAGAATAAATGGAGGACACAAAATGTCATTCAGGAAGTGTTTACTGAATCCTAGCTCACCTTCTTGATGAAATCAGATTCTCCCTGTTGGGTGGCTGCATTCCACAAACTCAATGTCTCAGCTGGGGGAGAGGAGTGGGGATTGGAGGCCACAGAGGGTTGTAGGAGAGATCAGACTACTGCCACAAAAGTGGTAGGATCTGACAGGCAGGGCACACTGTGAGAGGCAGGGGTGGGCAGATTTGTTATGAATGGCTGTAATTATCGGCTTGTCAGCAGCTGATCTTAACTATTACTTAGTAGATTTTAGGGGGCCCTTTTGCTGTAAGTACATACTGTAGTCGCTGAAGCGACCATGCACTTATAGCAGAAAGAATGCGGCCACTGTTAGGGTTACTGAGCTGGCCAGCTGCAAGCAGAAATATTTGCTCACCCTTCTGTAGAGCTGGGATAGCACCATGGCCAAACAATTCCTGTATTAGTCCCGTGATTGCAGTTATCCACTAGATAAAGAGCCCTTTGAATCTACAGCACCTTGCTCCCTCTACGATAACAGGTAAAATGATGTGGATATACTTGATTCATTTCAGATATATGAATAATAGGATATTTCATCAAAAGCTCTGTCTGGTTTAATTTGAAAATGTACCCTCCATCTGTGCAATAATTCTAAAAATATTCAAAGTTAATTCAAAACCTCTTTTCCCTAAATGACAGTTGCCAAGTCCATGTAGGAGTTATAGTTCATGCGTGTGTTATCACATCAGTGTCAGCACTACTTATTTTCTAGAATTCTTTACGTTACAGCCACTTCAGCACTAGGTTTACAGCTTTTAAAACTCAAACATATTTCTATGGTTTCTGAACAAGGCAATGTGCTGTGCACATCAGGTTCTGTCTGTACTGTACAGCTTTTCAAACTGCTTACAGCATCTATATGTTGCAGGCCTCTCAACATGTGGTAACTCTATTATATGACATACACGTGAAGGAAAAAAAGCTGAATGAGAGAATGTGAACAAGTGTATGGCCAGCTCTAGTCCCCAGTGGAAGCAAATCTTACCAACACTATTCCCCTCTGTAGAGACAACACTGTGGAGACACATCTACCAGCCTGCTTCCTTAGTAACACCTCTCAATCAATATTCCTACTAGGCTAAGCAGACATAAACAAATCCAACTCAAACCTCTTATCTCCTAGGAAGTACACAGAACTTTGAAATCCCAAACAGCATACTACCCCTTAGCCAATTTATTTGCAGCTACCCCACCAATTCTTCAAATTAAAGCAAGAAGCACCCAAGAACATATCCACCCTTATTGCCCCATCTCTCTACTTAATACAGATTACAAATTGTAGCTAAAATTATGGGAGATCAAATCCAAACCCACGTTGCTAATTCCTCACCAATTAGGCTTCACTTGAAACAAACATTAGACACTGGGCATACGCACATTGCAAAATCCCAATCAGCACCAATCTCCCCACACCATACTCTTCAATCTTGATGTCAAAAAGAACTTGAATAGCCCTTATCTTCTAGGGCCTTTGGACAAACTTTCTCCCCTACATTCAACACATATGCCACAACCATCTAACAAAACTAATAATAGCCAATTTTCTTCCCCCAGCTCAGTGTCCCGAAGTAGTAGACAATGCTACTATTTTATTCAACCTTGCTGTTGGTACTCTTTTGAGATTGTAATAATCAAAAATCACTGCGCTGGGAATGAGTGACTCGAAATCTAAATAACTAAATAGACCAGCAGCAACTTTGTGTATAAGTGAGTCTATTATGTGGCAAATAAGTTGCGCTCGGTCTAGTTGTGAATGGATGTGAAAGTGCTCTCTCAAAACCCAAAGGGGGGAGATCACCTTCAGATAACAAAATAAATTTTAAATATAAAGTAGATGTCTCCACTAGTGATAGTGAACTAATGTTTGGAGATGCAGAACTCAACCCGGTGGTACAAAATGTATTTTGTTATCTGAAGGTGATCTCCCCCCTTTGGGTTTTGAGAGAGCACTTTCACATCCATTCACAACTAGACCGAGCGCAACTTATTTGCCACATAATAGACTCTTTTGAGATTGTTAGTCATTACAAACACTGCAAGGTACTGTATCTCCATAGGTAATGAAACTCAAGATTATGGCCTTTGCAGATGACTTGTTTCTATACATCTCGCATCCTAAACACACACATGCCAGTATATTATCATCAATTGACCAACGCAACAACATTTCTAACTCTGCTATCAACCTGGAAAAATCGAAAGCACTTATCTAAATATACAAAACCGTCATGGAGTAAACATTATCTCTTTATACGGTATGTGTTCCTATCCCTAAAAAAAACCTAACTGTATAATATCAAATCTCACTATTACTGCATTTGTTCAAATTGACCCTTACCGCCAAGTCCCATTTTAACTAAAATTTCTTGGGTAAAGTCAGTCTAATCAAAATGGCAGCGTTCCCAAAAATTGGTTTTCCTTCTAAAGCATTCAGGAATAAATATGGGGCAGTAGCAGAGCAACCATAAGTCTTCGCACATTACACCATTGTTCAAAATGTTAATCAATGCTGAATTGAGATTGCTTGTACCTAGATTCTAAATCAGTATGTGTATGGCCATTGTATTGATGGACATGATATGACAGTCACATAACCCATCTATTTTTTTTTTTTTTTTCTTGGCTAATTACTGGGTAAGCTTGGCCAATGGTTATTCAGCTCTTATTTAATGCCCTGAGGATGATCAGATTGTACTTGCACAATCCACAACCCTCTAAAATCTACAGAAGGGGATTGTAATGTGGCCTAGTGCACAGACATGAAAAAAGGAGCGTTGAGGTATTACCATTGTATAGTCCTGTACTAGAAACCGGAAGAGGAAACTGTGTATGTTATGAGCAAACATGGCTGCCCCATGTACATACAAAATTTACAACCGTACACAGAAACAAGGTTTATAAAACATTTACACATATTAAAAAATTATTTACATTAAGCTGATCACATTTAGATGTATATATATTAAAAAAATGTGCAGAAATACAATAATTACCATGTAAGAGATCCCAGTCCTGCTCTGGCAGACCCAATATTTTATGCCAGCCTGTGTCCCAATCTGCAGTTCAAAAGGTCGATTCTTTAAATGCATAATCCTTTGTTTTATGATGACTCTGTATTACTTTATGAAGTATTCTAAAAGTCTGAATTGGCCATTAGGGGCCTTTTTAAGTATACTGTTGTAAAAGTTCACCATTGCTACATTCTGCAAAGAGTCTGTTTTTTGTGATACATCTACCAGCTCTACTTACTGAAGATCCACTGTGATTTTCCAGATTTTTGATCCATTGTGATTTTCCAGATTTAAAAATTAAACACATTTGCATCCTCCTTTTACTTTGACGTTTTACTAAATCTAAATCAGCGAGCCAGTCCTCTCTAAATGCTGAGTTAAGTCAGCTTTGGGTCGATGTCTACAATTCAAATCATACATTGGTAGCGGCAAGATCTCCGAATGGACTTCCCAGCTCTGTCCCATTGCAATGGCCTACATGATGTATCTCTCTTTTGCCAGTGAATAAGGGAAATCACATTTGAGGGCTTGTCTTATCTTCATGTCTTAGCAGTTTCTGAAACACTCAAGACGCCAGTGGAAGAAACACCCAATCGACATCCACTTGTACTAGAAAAACTATCATGGACTGACAAAATGACATCTGAAAACAAGTTAATAACCCCACTGATGTATTATTGCTTGACTGTCATGACTACATGATCCTACCACTCGGTAATGTGGAGGTTAATAGACATACTTTGTCTGACATACCGCTGTCTGCAGTATCTTATTACAAAACAAGTTGGCTCCTAGCAGATCTAAAAGCTGAATTATTAATTAATTATTAATCAGACACCAGACAAGCTTGGTAAATATGGTAATCTGCAGCAACCTATAGCAACCAATCCACAATAATCTTGCTGTGATCTGACTGCAGTAAAACAAAATGATTGGTTCACTTTTCCTATGGGTTACCAAGAGTTTAGCCCTGCTCTTTGTACAGTTTTATTAAATACCCCTGACAATGCATGGCTCAATAAAAAGCAAGTGATGCTTCCTCCAGATTTCCAGTATTGCATGCAATTAATGGGCAATGCTGCATGAAAATGAAGGTTACCAGTGCCGACCCCTCCTTCATGTCACGATGATCCAATGGCTTTATCACTTTCTGTGGTGCTGACCTGGAACAAGAATGCAGATCTGGACTTCACTCTGACTTTCTTAAGTGCATGCTTGTTCCAGGTCAGCAACTCAGAAGGTTTTGAGGCCAGAGATGGTCAGGCAACTAACATTCTTAGAAGGCTATCAGCAGCTATGGCAGCCTCCCTATGTACCTTAGTATAGATTTCCTTTTAACTTCTACTCCCCAAAGCCAAGACTGCTCTGTCTTTGCCATGCAGGTCCAAGTTTGAGAATTGAAGCCTCTATAGCAGGGGTAGCCAAACTTCAGACCTCCAGCTGTAGTTAATCTACAAATCCCAACATGCATTTGCCTCTGGGAGTCATGCCTGTGGCTGAGTCTTGCAATGCCTAATGGGATTTATAGTTTCACCACAGATGGAGGGACAAAGTTTGGTTACCCCTGCTCTATAGCAAAGTGAACACAGTCTCAGCTGGGAAACAGAAGAAGGTTTGCTGGGCAAGGGATCTAACTAGGGATGCACCAATACCGTTTTTTCGGTATTGAGTACGAGTACCGATATTTTGCTTTGTACTCGCCAGTACCGATACTGGTGCTTCCGCTGGCATGGAGCCGGCTTCCTGGGCAATCAGGAAGCCGGGCAGCGTGTAATGACATGCCATCTGCTTCCTGGTTGCCCGGGTAGCCTGTTCGATTGTGATAGCTGGGAAACGGGCTTCCCAGCCAATCAGCATCAAGTCGTCTTCCCGTCCAATCAGGAAGCCAGGCAGCGAGTAATGACCCACATCCCAGGCTTCCTGATTCGCCGGAAAGCCGGCTCCATGTTGAATGGCTGAAAAAACAGCTTCCTAGCCAATCAGCATCGAGCCGACTGTTTGGCCAATCAGTCCAGCTTCCTGATTGCCTTGGGAAGCCGGCTCCATGTTCCCCTACGGCACTGCCGGTCACAGGAAATCTTCCTCTGATCAGAATTTCCGGTATCAGGGATGGTATCGGAGCATTGGGCGAGTGCCAGTAGTCACCCAAATACTCGGTATCGGCACAGATACCGATACTAGTATTGGTATTGGTACATCCCTAGACCTAACAGCAAGCACCTTGTGCTCCATGCTTTTGGAAAAACACTTTTAATTTCTTTTAATATATCTCATTATAAATACATTTTTCAATGGGGCAGGTCCTGAAATGAGACATGAACCATATTCTTTAATGATATGATGGAATTGTCAAATGGTACTCAAATGCTGGGTTCTTGTAGGACACCAGATGGGTATCATATTGATTGACCATGTTATTTTTACATGTTTTATACAAGCAGCCAGCCAGCACAGTAATAATTACTAGAAATAACCCCCCTAAACTACATAGTAAAGCAAGTATCATAATGTAACTTGGTCTGGTTTTAAATTCTGCGCAAGGAGTCCTAGAGGCCATGTTTTCTGCCTCACTTTGCCCTTTCTTATTAAAGGCGACCATGCATACTTTATAGGTAGTGTATGGTGATAAGTTATACAGAGTGTATTGTCTCATGGCGGCATAAATGTTATCAACAGTCTTGTTCTGGTCAGCAGATTGGTACACAAGCTGGTATTTTTCCACTACAGAATTTGGTGAACACCAGTGGATCTGTGCCGATGTGTCTGTTATCTCAGATATATTTTTTAAATATGGTGGATCTGGAATCATATCCTCTCCCGAAAGGCCAGGGCATAAGCACATTGTCAGTTGCTGAACTTCGATGCAGGGTGTTTGTAGGTGTCTGCAGCCATCATAGTCACAAGCTAAAATGGTGCTAGCGATTGTTGATCTCTCAGACGGACTCTCCTCATCATCATAATCTTCAGAGTAATTCTGGGGAATGCCAGCTTGTTCCTCGTTAGTACTGTCTTCTAGAAGGGGTTGACCAGAACCACCTTTTGTGTTGCCTGTTAGACTGGTAAACACTTCAGTGACCAATGTTGATGCTGTTGTGTACATACTGTCTGTTGAAGGTCCACCAACACTATTCATGGATGTGGTACTGCCATTAGCTGAGCCATTTCCAGTATCGAGAGCAGTGGTTCCTTGAATAATGGAACTCGTTTGTGGTTTAGGGGATAAAATCGTTGAATCAGCTGCTGTGGTTTTAAAAACAGTAACACTTTCAGGAAGGGATGGTTTTTGTTCCATCTTCTGTGGTCTTGCTGTGGCTGTCACAGAATGTTTTTGCGTTCCCGTTATAATTTCAGTGATGTTGTTGGTTGGTGTTGACATGCTGAAATTTGGCATCGCATTTTCTGAAGTATTTATCTGGTTCAACTTGCAGAAATTATGATACTCCACTAAGGTGAGAGGAGGCATGTCTCCTTTAAATGAGTTGCAGTAAGTTTCATTTGCTCTGGAATATAAACCGGTATAAAATCACTCTGGACCTATTTCAGCAGCACAACAAACAGAATATAAGATTAATTAAAGTGACTCAGAAGTTTCTGCTTTGATAACTTAAAGAGAACTCCACCTGCAAACAATTTTTCACAATCTCTTTGCCACACTTTTCTAAATCACTAAAATATTGTATTGTTTTGCATTTTGCCTTTTGCCATATTACCTTTTCTCACAATCTATACCACCTACTTCTAACCATGTTCGGAAAGTTTTGACTTTAGATCTTAAAGTAAACCCATGCTTTGCTCATGCAGGGCAAATAAACAGGTTCACATTAATGCAGCACATACTTACCTTCCTTTCCTTCCTCCACTGCTTGTTTTGCCTCCAGGAAACAAAGAGAATAAAACCATGTCAAAGAAGGTCCTTCTTGCAGTGCCCACATCTCTTCCTAGTGATGTGGGCACTGCCTATAGGCTGTTGCAATTGCCCATCATCTGGTTCCTTGCAGGATCCTTAAGGCTGCATTTACGCTTACCACATGTGTTTTTGTCCTCTATATGCAGAGGAAAAGCTGTCAGGCTAGATGCCGCGTTTATGCTTCCTGATGCTTTATTTGACACGTGTTAAAGTGATTTTATGTATATGCGTAGGGCTTTAGATGCAACTGGTACAAAATCCTACCATCAAAACATGTACATGCGCTTAAATGCGGTTTGGTGCGTTTAGAAGTTCAAATGGATTTCTAGATGCAGCTGACATTTATTTATTGAAAACACAAATAAACTGACTGCATCTAGATGCAAGGTGGGAATCTACCCACTGGAATGCATTAGATGCATATATATGCATTTACAAAATATTTCTAAATGCATATAAAAGCATCCAATCGCACATAGTATAAATGAAGCCTAGGATTTCAAGGACCGATGTCATAACATCACAAGGGGGATGGTAACAAGACCAGTCAGGAGAATGCCATGGAGGATGTGGGCAAGGTTTCAGGCAGATATTTTCAGAATTTAGAGGCAATTATGTACTTTTAATATGAATGATGATTAGCTAGATTTGAAGAGGAAACAGGATTGTTTATTTTCCTGCAGGTTGGCTTTAAGTTTACAAATGTATAAAATAATGTTTTAAATAATTAATTTTTTATTTCTTTAAAATCATTGATAAAAAAAAATGTTTATTACAGGGTGTATATGTGAGAAGGTGCTTGCAAAGCATGCTTGGTTTGCTAACAAGAAAGCCCAGCATTGTCTGCTCTATAGCAGATTGCATTCCTCTGCTAGTTAAGAGCTTGCTAGCAGGGTGTCCCTCCCCTGACTCATTCAAGTCTCTTTTCACTTTATTAGCTGCTCACCGACTGAGACTGTAGCTGCTGAGACTAAAACTGGCCATACATTATGCACAGTGGGTGCAGCTGTCGGCACCCTTCCGGCCGGCATCCCTCGTTCAGCTGATCGAAGGAGCCAGTTGGAAAATCTTCAAATGAACGGTGCTGGCAGCCAGTAAGTTTCCAGCACCAATCGTGTATTCTGACAGTGTCCGTCAGCCAGTCCTTCTGACAGTGTAGAGGGGGATTCCTCGATCAATCCTCAAAAACAATGATGGAGAAATCTGTTCTATATTGGCTCCATCATTGATCTTGTCAACTTCATTTATACCGTCCCTATACCGTCGCACATGGAGACTGATGAGTCAGAACTTAAAGTAGTCATCTGAAAATCTTCTCTGGTAACCTTCTTATATCTTGAGCACATTTAATAACAATGTATCAGATTACCTCATTAATACCTTTTTATTTTTTTTACCTGAATAGAGTTATTTTTCCAGGGTCTGATAGTAGCCAGTCAAGTTCACATTTGCAGTATAGTGGATTTTCAGTGAGGTCAACATAAATAAAGCTGACAGTCACGTTCCAAGGAGGAAAAGAAGTCAGGTTGCAGCTGCATGATGACAAAATAAAAATAATTATATTAAAAGGCCAGTTCATTTTATTTATATAGGAGAGCTTAGTGGGTTGAGACACCTTTTATCTCTAGGGAATCCAATTGTGAGATCTGCCAAATAAATAGTCCATCAGGACGAGTGGGACTCCATAATGACCACAGTGGGTGTGCAGAGCCATGAACTTAGCACAGAGATCTCACCAGTAGAGTCCCTGAGAGACTCTTCAACATCTACAAAAACTAGACAGTTATTATTGAATAGCAGTATAATAAAAATGTACATTTTAGATTAGTGGACATTCAGGTTTATTTTATACAACGTGCCTCAAAACGAAAGTTGGCCATATACATGACTACGGGGTCTATTCACAAAGCTGCCGAAGGATCTGGCCGTAGCTTCGGCCGATCCTTCGGCTGGCTTCGGCCCCAGGACCCCTTCACATTATTGGGTGACACGTGTCAGAATGAAGAGGATCCACAGCGGGATGATGTGCACCTGTGTGCTACAAGAAAACTTTCAGTGAAACTTGGGATGTCCAGCCAGACTTTTGTTCCGTGAGTAACTGCTAATGCTGAAGCAAGACGGGCTCGGCCGGTTTGCACCCGCCACTCTCTTTGTGCTGCTGTAAAGGAACAGTGGTATTGAGCTATAGAAGTTGGCCTTATATTGCTTGAAATTTGGGCAAGTCCCGATGACTTGGCCAACATTCGAGCATCCTTCCATTCAACAAAAGTCAGTTTTTATTCAACTTTTGTCGAAGGAGCCAGGTTAAAAATCTGTCAGCCAATCAGCTGCAGTCATCTTTGTGTGTTCTGCCAGCGATGAGTGCCAGCAGTGGGGTGCCGAGGTGTGACCCTATTACGCTACGGTCTTCATTCTGACCTCTAGACTAATATTTCTACCTTTAAATGGCACCTGTACATCCCACAGAACATTGCACTGTGATGGCTACATATGGACAGTATAGTTCACCATTGATTTCTATAAACACTTACTTGCGGAAAGAAAGAAACATCGATTGTGAAGCATTTTCAAATATTTCAGTTCTGACATGAGAGAGTTCCCGGGACCCTGAACAGTTCAGAACTTTTAATTGTGGAAACCATTTCGGAAGCTCATCTTCCAGACTTTTCATATTAATCATCTGCGTGATGTGAAGCTCCATCAGATTTGGTAACTGCTTACTCCATGCCTCGTCAACTGAAATACAAAGAAATCCTTATACATAAAATGTTTCATTTTATGTTATTATGATATGATGATATTGATAATGTCATGATGCCAGCTCATACCATCTACTCTCCTTTATTATAATTTATTTACAATACTGAACTGATTAACCAACATTTTTGGTGAAAAAATAATATAACCTAAAAGTAAAAGAAAATATGGTCAATAGTTCAGTTATTTGGAGTCTAACAGGGCTATTCACAAAAGGGTGAAGAGTTTGGAGAAGGCAGGTGAAGTGAACAATCTAGGACAACATGGCTGATTTGGAAACATTCTCCAATTCAGGTCACTTTCTAGTTCAGCTATGTCGTCCTAGATTGTTCACTTCTCCTACCTTCTCCAAACTCTTCAACCTTTTGTGACTAACCCTGTATGTCTTTTTTTCTCTTCCTTCTTTAGAGTTTCTGAATATTCTTGTGTGCACTCCTGCTCCTCCCCTCACTGCTACAAAAAATTAACTCTGTGCTAATAATTGTTTTGGTGACTTATGGAAAAGAACAGCGGTCAGCAAGGAATGATGCCATCTAATAACCTGCTGCTGTCTGCCTGTGTGCGGCTGTTCTCCTTATTGAGCAGAGTTTAGCTGTCCTATTTATATTTTATAGTGTATGTATTAGGATTCGAGGATCACAATCTCAATAAGACCCTATTGGTAAAGGAAAGTGTGTTTAACAGCACACTTGACAGGTGTGTGTCAAAAAGACTTGCTCTGTTCTTCATTTATACTGTATATTATAATGGCCAGGAGAAGGAGAAAATGTAAAAAAATTAATGTGCTTTTGTAAACTTGTAATTGGTCTGTTATTAAAGAGGAACTTTACCCATATCTTTGAAATGACAACAAAGACAACTTTAGAAATGTTTAATAATGACAATCAACAAACACATACTTCTATATAATTGCAGGATTTTTTTCCTATGCATACCTTATTTTTCTTTTCCTCCCCATTCTTCTCACAGTGGCCATTTTTACTAATGGCAGATTAAAATATCTTCAAAGGATGCACCGATACCAATACTAGTGCCGATACTGAGTATTTGTGTGAGTACTCGTACTCGCCCAAATTCTACGATGCCTAGATCAATACCTGAACTTCTGGTATCAGGAACTCGGGCAGCGAGTTATTACACGCTGCCCGGCTTCCTGATTGGTCAGGAAGATGGCCAATGACGAAGCCGGATGGCGAGTCATTAACCGCCCCCCGGCTTCCTGATTGGCCAGAAAGCCGTCTCCATGCTTCCTTGTCACCTGGTGACGAGGAAGCATGGAGATAGCTTCCCTACTAATCGGGATCAATCGGGCGGTGAGTCTTTACCCACCGCCCCGCTTCCTGGCTAATCAGGAAGCCAGCTGGTGAGTCATTACACGCCGCTTGGCTTTCGTAATGGGACTTTCGGTATTCAGTATCAGCGAGTACCTAAAAAAAATCCGATCAACACTCACACTCGATACCGAAAAACCGGTATCGGTGCATCCCTAAAATCTTCCTTAAGTTTCTGGAACGTAGGCACATGTAACTATACATGTGACCATGCATATAATCTCGGGGGAGGAAAATTCCTTTCCCTGAGATCTCATGAGATTACAGATGAGATTCCCAGCAATGGACTGCTGATGTAACCTTCCCAGGATGCAACGCTTGGGCACATTACATCACTAATGCCCAAGGGGACCAGAAAGTGGAAAAATAATAACTGTAAGGTAATTAAAAAATATGGTTGTTTAACTAATGAATATAAGATGATTTCATATCAGCATCCAGAGCTGAATGCTGATGTGATTTTTAGTGGACACTGGGGGTTTTCTTACAAAAATAAGTACCTTAAAGTGGACCTATACTGCTCTGGTCCACTTTAGCTCCCTGCAACTCCCCCGGAAACAAAAGCATTGTTTTTTATATATATATTTTTTTTCTTGCTCACTTCTTTCAAATGTTTTTGTTCAACCCTGCCCCCCAGCTGGCATTCTTGCCTAGGCAAACATGACATGTCCTGCTACCGCAGTCTCTTGTGATATCCCCGTCACATATCCCAGGAGGCTGCAGAAGCAATGATTCACAGAGGCTGGTGGGCAGACCAGGCCACGAGTCATCAGGGGGTGACAGCAGAGCCCAGAAGAGACAGCTGACTCCTACTGATCATACAGAAGAAGATGGTGGCAGTGGATCTGCAGATTACAACTCTGGATTGGCTGGGCAGGTGAGTATGTCTTTTCTTTAGAATAACCAACCTCATTTTTGTACTCACTTCTATGAAGGTAGGTAGCACTTAGATCAAGCAAGTGTAGAGACTGTAAAGAATCCTTCTTTGCTCCTGTTGCATTCAGAGCAAATGCTGACTCATCAATGTCTGCTGATGAATTGCTTCCAATCAGAGTAGAAGATAGATTGAGGAGCATCAGGTTTGGGAAACACGTGAATGCGAATGAAGGGATGTGCAATATTGGATTTCCTGCTAGGGACAACCATTGGACGTTCTTTAACATATTACACTTTGGAACAACTGATAATTGATTATTGCTCAGATCCAAAACCATGAGTTTTGCGAGCACATTGCTCCCCCAGAGGATTTCTTTGATTTGGTTGTGTGCTAAAGACAAGTTTCGCAGTTCAAATAGGTCAGCCACATCCTGGTCTGTAACTACTGCCAAGTTATTGAAGGCCAGGTCTAGCACCTGAACAGTGTTGGGTATGCATGCTGGAAATTCCTGAAGTGATTGCTTAGGTAGGAAACATGTGATGTTGCATCTTCCTCTACACGCAGTCTCGGTGATATTCTGCGGCACTGTAAAATTCTTAGAGACAGTCGCAGTCTGGTCTGTACTGTTGAGCTGAGCTGCTAACATTCCCATTTTACTCACAAGCAGCAAAAAGCAGAACATCATAATGGCTAGGGTAACCAGTTATTACTAATAACCTGAAAAATATTAGAAAACAGTTAGATAACAGTAGGTTACATAAATGATATGTGTCAGTAAAATTTGTAGAAGAAGGCTTGGAATGTGTACATAATACATGACCCATCTGCCTAGCGATTTTTTATTTTCATAGCTGTTGTATCAAGCAACATAAAGGCTTAAAGTGGACCTTCCCCCACCAATGCCTATGCCAATTAATCCCATATGCCAGTTACCCTTGATGCGTGTTTATCCAGGATAAACATACTTACACACATACTTACTTTTCCATTGAGAGCTGTCCAGAAGAGGTTTTCCCTTGGAGAGGTTTGATCTAACTTTCTGTTCTGTCTTGAAGGAAATCTTTAAAAAACCTGATGGGATTTAACCATTACCTACTTATCCAAAACTAAAGGAAGAAAGCTTTGCCTTTAGCTACTTTAAAATGTTCTTTCAGTTGGCAATGTGGAAGATTGATTGCTGAGCCTCATGAATTGTATAGTACAGAGTTATGTGACAAGAACTTGGAGAGAACATCAGTGCTGCTTTGGTTGGAAGCATGTGTGAGTGATTACATATAAACCCAGATTACAGTAAACTATATAAAATGTATGACTTTAGTACTACTGCATTATCCCCCGGATATGCTGAGTAAATCAATGATTGTTTCAAAGTGAAACTCTAGGCAAAATGTTGCACAAAGTGGGCAATCTGTTTTTGTTTTTTTTCTTTCTTTGTGCCAATATGAGACATTTGCCCTCACTTCCAGAGACCACGCAGGTGAAGCCAAATCTTCTTAATAGGACTCAGTCAGCAACAAAAATCCTGACAGAGATTCTAACACTTCAGCAATCTATCCAAGCACAAGCACCATGTTGCACTGCAAAGCAGGAAGCAGAATCTGTGTGTGTGATAAAACAAGAAAGTCCCCGTCAGGGGCGTAACTAGAAATCACTGGGCCCCATAGCAAAATTATGTATGGGGCCCCCCAAACCGCCTCCGAACCCCTGCTCCGCAAACTACCCTCAACCAACCGTCTCCTTCTCTTCAGTTCTGCTCCTGCTGGCTCTGACCTCAGAGTTAAAGAAGAAATCATTCTGTTGCTGATTTGCTACACTGCGACTGCCTGGCAGGCAGGGCCGGATTAACCGCATCATGGGCCTGGTGTTGAGGATTTTGGTGGTCCTCTTTTTGGAAATGTCAGCACTCACTGGGGCCCTCTTCCTCCTGTCTAGGCTGTGATTTGTAGTCTCTTTACAGCTTGGAGTTAGTGGTGGAGTGCCACGGCACGGTTGCAGCTGTGACCCAGGTAATTCTGCCACTGACTCCAAGCTGTAGAGGAGCTACAAATCTCAGCATACATGATACAGCAATGCAGAGATAATCAAAAATCAAAAAAATGTGAAACAATTAAAATAAATTAAATTTTCGGTTTCGGCCTGACAAATGTTTTTATTTCGGTACAAGTGTACTGAAAGTACAGAAGCACATCAGGAGGAAAATTGACAGCATGGGACAGGGAGAATATTAGGGGGGATTGAAAATGACCTGAAACCACTGAGGGGGTGCAGGGGAAAGGATAGCAGCCTGGCCAGCATAGCACACATACATGTGGTGTAAACATACATACACATATATATATACATAAACAAACATACTGTATATATACAGGGCTTAGCTGTTGGCAGGGCTCATTCAGTACATATACAGTACATAACATACAGTGAAAGGTTCGATCACTTGGTTCTCTGTCCCCAGAGATCTCAGGCCTCCTAACAGCAGGAAGAGACAGCAGACCAGCTCTGTCCAATGAGAAGAGAGCCCGTGAGCGACCGTCGGTGCGGCGGCAGCCTTTTTTAGGGGACACTTCTGTAATTGCCTGCTTATGACCGGGCCCCACCCTGCCCAGGGCCCCATAGCGACCGCGTGGGTCGCTATGGCGGTAGTTACGCCACTGGTCCCCGTGTAATATATAATTATAGATTATACTTAAAAGGAAAGCTTTTTATAACATAAGCCTTGTGAATCTTTTTCCATGCACATTTAAAAAGACATTGAAAATACTCTTTTCTTTAAAATAGAAAATATCATGTATGCTAATATGGGTTAATTATTTACCATCAAAATCTTCAGCAGAAGAAATCTGAGGATGTTGTTTGAAGCAGCATGGTGCGTAGGAGACAAATTGCTTTCTGTATGATGTTATGCATCATAAACTAATGAAAGATGAAATATGTACCTCAGGAAAAGTGCAGATATCGAGTTGGTGGAAACTGACTCATCAACTGTGAAAGCCAAATGGACGTGTTTCAGATGAAATACACAAACAATACGTGGGCCCTTAATATGGAGATGCCACAAACAATATTTAGGTCACCCTTACAAAGCCAATATACCTGAACCATAAGTACAACAAATCAAAATCTATTTACTTAAAGTTTAAGTCCAGCTAAAACTTTTTTACTTTGTTTTGGCTAGAGTGAGGTAGGCTAAAGCTGGGTAAAAGGTCAGAAATAAGTGGAACAAAGTGATTTTTTAAAGTAACTGTTTTTTTTTATAATTAGTATCACAAGTGTATTTAATCTTGTAATCAGTCAGTCAGACTATTTAAATAGAGAAAAGTAGTCACAATGCTGTTTGGTATCATTGTAAGCACCACAGTGGCCAGGACCAGAGAATTGTCTGTGAATATCAGAAAGAGTATAGACCAGCATGTCAGAGATAAAGGCTAAAAGACCTTCTCCAAGCAGCTTGATGCGCATTTTATTACAGTTGCAAATATTTTGTATAAGTTTGAAGTCCATGGGAGAATAGCCAACCACTGTGGATGTGGCTACAAGAGGACAATTGACCCCAGATTGAACAGAATGATGGTGCAAATTGTATACAAAGAACTAATGAAAACTTCCCCAAAAATACAGACAAAACTCCAAGGTCAAGGTACATCACTGTCTGATCACACCATCCATCGCTTTCTGAGTGACAGTGGACTCAAAGGAAGACTCCACTATTGAAAGAAAACATAACAAAGCAAGACTGGAATTTGCTATAATGCCTATTGACAAGCTGTGATGCTTCTGAGAGAATGCCATTTAGGCAGCTGAGACAAAACTGAAGCTTTTTGGCAGATCACATCAGCTCTACGTTCACAGACAAAAAAGCTTTCAAAGAAAAAAAAACATAATTCCTACTGTGAAACATGGTTGGTTATATGTGCAGGGCACAATGACATCTCAAGACTATCATGGAATTCTAGATTGAAACATACTGCCCAGAAAGCTCTGACTCAGTCACAGGTCATGAGTACTGCAACAGGATAATAAGTCAAAACCCACAGCTAAAAGCCCCTAATAAAGGCTAAGAATAAAACTGTGATGGATTATTTGCCATATAAGAGTATAACTTAAGTTTTTATGACTTAATCTAATTGAGCTATTCTTTAGAAAGCTCTGTCTCAGTCACAGGTCATTCGATGAGCCCTTATCAGAACCCTATCAAACATCTATGGAAACATCTGAAACCTGCAGTCTAAAGAAGTTATTTTCAAACCTGAGACAGCAGGAGCGGTCTGCTCAAGAAGAGTGGGCAAACCTACCTTCTGGTAGGTGCAGAGGTCTCACTGAAAGCTGCAGAAGTCACTTGTTTTCAGTGATTGTCTGTGCAACAAAATATTAGGTTAAGGATCCAATCATTTTTGTCTGTGCCATTTTTATTTGTTTCAATATTTAAAATATTCTGTTAAATCAAAAAATAAAGGCAAAGTCTGATTTTTATTGAAAATAGAATAAACAATGATGGGTGCCAATTTGTTTGGTCAGCTTCAAGTAATTTCAGAGAACATTGTGTCATGTAAGGGTATCAACAAATTTGTCCACATCTTTATTACTTATCATCTGCAGCATGGTTTTTGTCTGATGTGATAAACAGATCAACCATTTAAAAGTGATTTATCAGATGTCAAATTATATTTAAAAAATCCTTTGATCTAGCAGACACATTTTTAAAAAGTAGATCTTATTAATATAATATAAATAATGATTAACATTGTGTTATATCTGGTCTGTGGGGAATTATGCAATGTATGAGGATTCATGGACAGCATGTTCCTCTATAGACTGGACAAAGCAACATATATATATATTCAGGTGAATTCAAATTTGGCCATTCTCCCAATGTGTCTTAAGTGCCACAGTTCCATTCGCTCGTCCCCTGGGTTATTACACTTATCTCATTATCATCGTCTCCTCTGCCTAATTAAACAATCTGTAGAAAATATAATTCTGCAGTATTCATAATGTGATACAGCGCTCACTTCATATACATATGCAGGGAATTCCTAGATTAATTACATATATCCTGAAGGACTATGTTTATGAAGGGCCAAATTAGAGTCAAAATTCCATCCACTCCCACACTAATGATGGATAATTACGAATACATTAAGTGAAAAAAACGTAATTCATACTCATATATGGCAAATAATCCATCACAGACCCAGAAGAACATAGCATGCTTCCATTCACATCATGACCTACCTGTGAATGTAGTAGTAACCCTCGCTCCTGTCTTCTTCGATGTGGGGTCTAGAGAAAGAGACAAGTAGAAAGTGATTTCTTCTTTTTCGTCTTCTCCCTCTCCCACCTATGTGCAGACTCTAGTGTCTTTGGTATGTGGTGGGAGGTCTTTGTTTCACTTAATCACCATGTACACTGGACAGTGCAACTGTCTGCAGATTAATTACATATTATTTGCAGAAATCACCAGAACAATCACATGATTTTCAGTTAAAACTTTCTTTGAAAGCCTGCTCTATTATTTCGTGGCTATTTGTGCTAAATAACTGTATGGTGGAATTAAAAGATACAACATGTACAAAAACGTTTCTTCTTTTTATCTTAAAAAATATATTTAACTCAGATTGTTGGGATCTCTTTTCCTTAACTCCACTGATAATAAAGTAATATACATATGATTTTCATAATACTAATATTTTAAGA